GGTTCGCGCGATTCGCAAACTGAACCGAGATTCCGAAGAGGAGACTCGGGTACCACTCACCCATATGAATTACTACGCGCGAATTGTCGATGAAGCTGGAGGCATGAAGAACGCGGCGGCGGGTGCGACGCTCGATAACCGAAGTTTCGATTTCGCCGACCATGGTTCCATGGTGGAAAAAAATGTCGGCTCGCTGGGCGAAAAAAGGGAAAAAAACGAGCGCAACGTCGAGGAGCTGTACGAGGGGCGCTCGGGAGAGCCGGCATTTTCGCGCGTAGAGTTACGCCGCGTTTACACGTCGATATCATTGCGGCGCGGGGCGCCGGCGTTTTCAAGCGGCCGACGTAATTCGAACGCACTCCAAGTGCGAACGAACTCTCGCACGCATCGGCGATTAAACGGCACGTCGACCTGATCGCCGACTGGCTGGCGGCGGATCTCGCTCGTGGATCTTGATTAAATATTTGTCCGGCAGCGAGAGCGCGCGCGCGCGCACGCGCGAGAGAGAGAGAGAGAAATGGCGGGGTTTAAAGTACGAAAAAGGCGGCTACCTTTCTCGACTGACCTCGACGGCTTTATCGTTCATTACGACGCGCTTATGCACAGCTCGGGGAAAATCCAGACGACCGGCAGGCGGCGGCGGCGGCGAGAGAGGTGTCGCGCGCACAATGTTTACGTGTACAATCACACACAGAGCCGAGTGTGCTGCGGCAGCACTCGTTTCAGCGCGCGCGTTTCAGCGGTTAAACGTTCCACGCCGCCAATAACGACGTTCCTCCGCTGCATGCATCCGCGGTCCGACTAATGCATCTCGCGTTGACGCCGCAGCTACGGACCTACAATAATCCGCGGCGGGATCCGGGACGGAGTTCTGTGTGACGCGCGTGAGGAGACACCCGAGGAATTATCTGCGGAGTAATTTATCTGCGAACCGCGCGAGAGAACGCGCGATTGAGGAACATCGGCGAGGCCGCCCGTGAGGTGCTTTTCCACAAATCGTGCGCCTCCTCGATCATCGTCGGACGCGCGCGCGCCGTATTAATTATCATTTTTTAGTATTGTACGATAATGATATCGAAACGGTAATAAGCTCATGTTTTCTTCTTCCAGACAATTTGTCAAATATTGATACAGATTAATTGTCGTTAATATTGCAAATATTGACCGGCGAGTATATCCGGGCGCGCCGGAACGGCATTCGCCGATTTTATCGCGGCCGATTTACCGTGCGCGGTTCCGCCATCCTCGTAAACGAGGAATGCCTAGTCCGAAAAACGCGGAGGCTAATTTCGAAACAACGGCGGCGCCACGGGGCTCACGCAATTTTCCGCAGCACGGCGAAGAGAGCCCGCGACTGTTATTTTCAGCGCTCACCATTATTATCGTCTCTGTGTATTGACAACGCGCGATAAAATGCACAGCATGGTGACGTGCGCGCGATGGCAGCCTGAGAAAACATCGGAAATTCGCGAGATAATTAATCACGTTGGCCGCGCGTGCGCATACTTCGTACTTCGGCCGGGCGTGATGATGTTCGCGCACGCGTTCGCATTTACCGTGAAATTTTCAGGCGAATTCGTACTTGTCGACGAATATATCTCGAGGGACCATTAACTCTCGCGAAACGACTTTCGAACTCCGAAGGAAGTTCGCACGACAGCGCTTTCTCCTACTCTCTCTCTCTCTCTCTGTCTCTCTCTCTCTCTCTCTCTCTCTCTCTCTCTCTCTCTCTCTCTCTCTCTCTCTCTCTTCCTCCCTCCCCCCCTCCCTCCCGGGGAGAAGATTTATTTAGACGAAGCGCTCGATTCTATTATCAGCTTGCTCGCGATAAGATCGGAAGCAGAAGAACAATCGTCTCCGCCCGTTGCTGCCGAAAGCGCGAGGTAGATAAGGCCGCGAAGAAGGCGTTTGTCTGCCGACGACCGGGTCATCGCCAAAGGTGCTCGCTACAGGAGGATGAAGGAAAACAGGAATGTCGTTGGCGTTCGATGTATGCGTGAATTGTTGAGAGGTGCAAGGTGCACTCATTAACTGCTGCGCATTACCTCGCCGCCGCAATTAACGCGCGATCCGAGGTCAATTATGTGCGAGCCAGGCATCAAAGGATTCAATTAATTATCGCGGCGGCACGTTTCACGTTTTTGACGTTGAATGTGAGAGAGAGAGAGAGAGAGAGAGAGAGAGGGGGGGTACTTTGAACTACGGTTGCTCCGTTATACCAGAGTCTGTTATCAGTTTCTCATATATATATATATATATATATATATATATAGAGAGAGAGAGAGAGAGAGAGAGAGAAACATTCTCTTAATGATCATATATATATATATATATATGTGTGTATAGTTTATGTATAGATTAATATTGCATTTTGTTACACAAGGGGAACTCAACAACTTTCGCTTATTTAAAACTGGCACACTGCGAGATGGTCAGCCAGCCGGTAGGCGAATCACCGAATTATCGCGCTGCGACAAAAACGCGCGCATAAAAGGAGTCTAAATCGGGATACGGAGCGGAGCGGCGCGACGAGGTTCGCCGGAGATGAACAGCTGTTTTGTACGATGACTCTGCGGCGATGATCGCTTGAACTCCATCGCGCACGATAACCTCGTTCTCTTTCTCCTCACTACAACGACGACGACAATGACGACGACGACGACGACGACGACGACGACGACGACGACGACGACGCGACAACTGTATTCAACTGAGGGGTGAACCGGTGACTGTATTTAGCGAGAGGTAAAGCGCCGACCAAGAATTCGCGCACTAATTCCGCGATAGCCGGCTGCGCTAAGAAGACAAGTATAACTGGCTACTTACGATGCTAATGTTAATTTTATACAATCTCCGCGTAAGCACGTAGTCAGTAGTCAGTAGCGAGATATCCACGCGTGAGTGCGTGGCTTAAGTTACACAGGGTGATTTTTGTTTATCGGGGAATCCGAGGAATTTACAGATATAATAGAGACAGAGACGCCATGTTCAGAGATACGCGGGCATTTTCTACGCGTCAATGCAGCTCATAATGCAGGCCATATTTCCAAGCGAGCGTGTTATACCTGTTATGTTACACACCGTGGGTAACCGTATCCGTCGTCCCAGGCAAGTTTTTCGGCCCCGAAGGAAAACTCATTCGTCAGTCGAAAGCGAGTCAGCTCGCCAAGTTTGGCAGCGAATTCGGGACGATTCCAGTAACTCGAGAGTACTTCTCTGGAATTCGCCGGTCGTCCTTGGACATCGAGCTACGCGCGGTCTACCTTTCGAAGCGTAGACCGCTTGTAATCCTAATTAAGGGCCCTCTGGCAGTCAGGAAACCCTGGTCAGCATAGCAAATTTCTAGCATTCGGCTTCTCGAGTTCCATTCCAAAATTAGCTGCCGGTGCAACGAGAGAACGTCGTTGCAACTTGCATCGACTGTCTGCCACCGAGTTCCACTCGTCTAATACGGGACACGTGGCATCGAAGGAGAAATGCATGCCTCTCGCGAGACACGCTTCTCGACCTCGCTCGATTTCGTTCGACCACTTCCCATTTTTACGGGCGCGACGATCCCGTAAATGTCGCGCGGCTTAACACTCCTGAAACATCGCGCGCGCATTGCGCTAGAAATCCTGAAACTCGCGGAAAACTCTGTCAATCTCCCCCTCGCTCTCCTTCCCGCGTCGATTCATAAGTCGCGCAGTTTTTTACGCCTCTTTTCCTCCGAGACGTATCACGATCGCTGGGAAACTTTTCGCCTGTCAGACTCGCGAGGGGGCGGGGAGGGGGAGGGAGGCAGAAAGAGCGATCGCAACAAAGTAACGATCGAAACACGACGATTTGAATACTTTGCGGCGTGCGCATACGGGAGCGAGCGAGAGGATCCGAGACAGAAGACGTGGAGGAGACCGAAGAGGGAGGACAGAGATAGAGAGAGAAAGAGAGAGAGAGAGAGAGAGACACGGTCGAAAGAGACGAGGGACGCAGAGAGAGGAGGAGGGGGGGAACAGGGGAGAGAACGAGACGACTGGGTGGGGCAGCAGACGCCCCGCGGCAAACTGTCAAACTACGCCGGCGGTTCCGCAAGCCGTCTGCGGCCGTCGGCCGCCCCCATGGTAAAAGTCCACGGTTTTCCAGGAATACGCGCGCGCACGCGCAATGCGTACACGCGTGCGGAAATGCAAACGAGCGAAAACGGGAAAAACGCGTCGAACGCAAAATGAAACAGAGGACATCGGCGGAGAATGGAGTAGCAAGTCCCCTCTTTCGGGTTACACCGTGTTGCACTCTTTGCGCTCAGGACGAGATGGAAACGCAGGCTGGTGGAGCGCTCGTGGGCAGGAAAGAGACAAAGCGAGAGCGAGAGAGAGAGAGAGGAGCGCGAGATCGAAAGAAAGTACAGAATGGTTACGGGATAAAGTAGGACTTCTGTAGAAAGAGAAGCCGCCGATGGGACAAAGCCGGCGTCGATGAGAACTCGTGGAAAAGCGCGAGAGCACGGAACGATTGACCGGGGAAAGAGAAACACGACGAGTGAGATGAAAGAACGGAGAGACGGATGCTAAGGCATCGGTCGGCCGGCTGCTTGCTTGTTTGCTCGCTCGCTCGCTCGCCCGCGTCGTCGTCGTCGTCGTCGTCGTCGTCGTTGCACGCCACGTTAGCACGCGCTCGCGCGCGCGTGCACGCGAACGTCGTTTCAGCAGAGCTGCGCGAAGTAAGCGGCGAGTCGCGCGGTGGGAGCATGCGCACTCGCCACCGCCACCGCTGCCGCTCGAGATCGAGAGAGAAAGAGAGAAAGCGAGATAGAGAGATGATAGAGAAAGAGAGATAGAGAGACAAAAGGAGAGAGAGAGAGAGAGAGAGACAGACTGGGGGAGCGAGCGAGCGAGCGAGCGAGCGAGAAAGAGAGAGAGAGAGAGGAGAGGGAGAGAGAGGGTAGGCGAGATGGAATGAAACAGAATCGAGAGGCAGAAGGAAAAAATCGCAGGCAAATGGTCGTTCAGCATGGGACTCACCATCATCTTGTAGTTCATCTTCCTCGGCGGGGCCACGTTCTCCATTCTCACGGACATGTTGCTAGCGGCGTAGTAAAAGTCGCGCGGCGCCCGTCGATGATACGATGGTGCGGTAGTAGCAATGATAATAACAATAATAACAATTCACGCCGGCGCGACGATGCGCAGCCTAAAAACCACCGTCGGCTGTCGTCGTCGTTGCGTCGCCGCCGGTCGCTTTCGCGCCGCCGCTCCGGTTCTTTCAACTCCTTCCCCACCTCCTGCTCCGTCGCTCCCGCTGCTGCCTCCTGCTCGTCGTCGGCGCCTCCTCGCCGTTCCTCCGCACGTCGCTTGGCTCCTCCACCGACAACGTTGTCGTCGTCGCCGTCGTCACGTCACGTCACGTCACTGGACCACACCGCACCGCACCGCACGTTCCTCGCTCACTACCGGCGACACTACTGAACGAACTAAACGTAGACAAGAAACCACACACTGTAGCACACTCATACATTCGTTCGCTCGCTCGCTCGCTCGCTCGCTCGTTCGTTCGTTTGTTCGCTCGGCGCGCGCGCGCGCGCGCGCACCATATACACTTACGGTCACTACGCGAATTCGCACTCTCTCTCGATCGGCCGATAAACCGCCGCCGGGACGGAGCGACTTAGTCAACGAGAACAAGAGAGAAAGAAAAAAAAAGAGAGAGAGAGAGAGAAAGCAAGAAAGAAAGAGAGGAAAAGCTGCGTGTGCGGTGACTGCCGGCGTATTGTAGGTGCTCCACCAGGCGAGACGCCGACCAAACGAAGAATGGATGGATGGATAGACTGATGGATGGATGGATAAACGGATGGCCCAATGTGATAGCGGCGTGATGTGAGAGGGTGGGTAGGGTAGGAACCGACCGTACCGCACTGTACCGTGCTGTGCGTAAGGTCGACGCGCTACACGATTACCACGTACTGACCGTCGTCGTCGTCGTCGTCGTCGTCGTCTCCTTTCGTCCTCGCATGCCGTCAACAAAATCGGACACGACGACGAGCGTTACGACGAATCACTTTGCGTCGACCAACAGAGAAAGAGAGAGAGGAAGGAACGAGGGGGACGGAGGGAAGGGAAAGAGCACCGGGCGAAAGAGCGAACGTGTAACATGGCTAGAGACAAGGGAGACGAGGAGGGGGTGAGGAGAGGACAGAAGAGGAAAGAACAGAGCGAGCGAGCGAGCGAACGAGCGAGAGAGAGAGAGAGAGAGAGAGAGAGAGAGCGCGCGCGTACGCGATTCTGTAAGTGTACGGAGGAAGAACGAAGAGACGGAAGGACTAAGAGATGGAAGGGGGCGCGACGGGAGAAGGGAGAGACGGAAAAAGGCGACGGACAAGTGGTGAGATAAAGAGAGAAAGACCCAGAGAGGGAAGGAGGGAGGGAAAAAGAACGAGAGAGAGAGAGAAAGAGAGCGAGCGAGCGATGCGAGCGACGGATGTCGAGTGTCAAGAGGGTGTGTCGATTCGTAGCGCACTTCACTACTACTAACTAAACTATTGGCTACCGCTGCTATTAACTACCGCACAGCAGCACGCCGGCAGCCGGTCGTCGTGCACCACTCTCTCGTGCGCAGCCTGCGCGTCTTCTCGTCGTCGTCGTCGTCGTCGTTGTCGTCGGCAGCGTCGTTAACCTTCTCACCGGTGTGTATATATATATAATATATATATATATGTGTGTATGCGTGTGTACACACACGTATATCAAACGCACTCACGCACTGCACACACCCGACTCTCGAACGTTCCGAAAAACGAAGGGGGAAAAAAAGAACGGAGAGAGAGAAAGAGAGCGCGGCCTGCGCGACGCCGCGTCGTCGCGATACCGAAAGACTAACGGCGACTGCCGCCGCGTAGCACCGTCGCGCGTCGAGCCGGAGAGACTTGCCGTCGCGCTTATCGGCGGCTGCTCCTTCTCGTTTTCAACGCGCCGCTGTCGCCGAGCGCTGGCGGTGGCGTCGGCATGCGGCGGAGATAGCCCGCTTCTTCCCGCCGATCTTCCTCCGTCGTCGCTCTCGTTCTCGTGCTCGTGCTCGTCGTCGTCGCCGTCGCCGTTGTCGCGCGCGCGCAAGCCTGGCGACACGCGAGCGAGCCGAGAGCCGTGCTGCGTCGCCGCGCGATCACTCTCGACAACGTGTCTCGTCGCAGCCGCAGCCGTCGACGTCTCGTTTCTCCTGCTTCTCGTTATTACGAGGTCTCGCGGCTGTATCACTCCTCGTCGTCGTCGTCGTCGTCGTCGTCGTCGCCGTCGTCGTCGTGCTGCTGCTGCTGCTGATGATGATGATGCTGATGGTGGTGGTGGTGGTGGTAGTAGCAGTTACCGTCGTCGCTACCCACCGTCGTGGTTGCCTTCGCCGAACACACGCACGCACACACAACACACATATACACACACACACACACACAACGGTCGCTCCTTTTCTAATGTTTCGCTGCTACTGTTGTTGTTGTTGTTTCTTTTTCCTCTTCTTCCGCTTCTTGCGTTATTGCTTCTCGCTCTTCCGACTGTCGTCTCGTATCGGCGCGATGATCGATGTCCACCTCTCGTTCCGACGTAGCGCGGTTTCTCGCTCTTCGAAGCTTCTGCTACTTCTTTCTTTCTTTCTCTCTCTCTCTCTCTCTCTCTCTCTCTCTCTCTCTCTCTCTCTCTCTCTCTGTCTGCCTCACGTACTTTTCTATCTCTACGTAGAGAGCAGGGCTATCTTTCTTCCTCTCTCTCTCTCTTTCTCTTTCTCTGTTTCGTCTCTCCTCTTAACGGTCGTACAAATTACACCCGCGGTGTATCGCGGAGCACTACGAATTTTTTTTCTTTTACGGCGCGTTATTACAAAAATAGAGCTTGCGTGTAGAGCGTGTAGTAACGTGTGTCTCTCTCGTTCTCTCGTGTTGTTTCCCTTAAATAAGATTAATGTACAATTGGTTAATTGTTACTTGTGGTTTATAGGAAACATTTGGTGTGTGTGTTGTATTGTAGGTAGAGTCTAAGCTACTGCCCGGCGAGGTGCGCCATCGCCCATCTTGCCCGAAACTGAACGGAACCGCCGTCGGGCGGCGCTGCCAACGCCAGCCACCGACCAATTGGGGCTCCGGCGGCCGCACCTGTCTGCGCTACCGCCACTCAACACACGCGCAAACGAGCGACGAAGCGCGCGTTGTATTCGGCCGGACTTTAGCGCGACGGAGAGCGGACGAACGGAGGCGCGGTTGGTGCAACGAAGACGTCGGTTCGCCGGTCAGTGTGCAGCCGATCGCCGCAGTGCTTGGATTGGTGGGGTGCTCGGCGAGCGAGAGGAAGGAAGAAAGAAAGGGAGGAAGGGAGAGAGAGAGAGAGAGAGAGAGAAAGAGAGAGGCGATGCGTTCTCAGTCGGCGAATTTCGGCACGGCACAGTTGGCAGCCGTGACTGTGCGAACGCGACGACGGTGGAGACGAGGGGCGCGGGGCGAAGCACGAAGGAGGAACGGCTGGAGAGGAAGAGAGAGAAAGAGCGGACGGAGGAGGGAAGAGGGCATTCATTACGTTTTCTCTCCAGCCGAGTCCTGCCGTGTGATACGGCCAAAACAAATCGCCGCGGCTCGTTACGTCTCGCGAGATGGAAGAGCGGCCGGCCGGCACGCGCAACGTCCGAATACCGTCGATACTCGCTCTGATCGCGGTCGGGAGTAAGACGAGAGAGAGAGAGAGAGAGAAAGAGAGAGAGAGAGAGACGAGGAATGCTCCCGTTAATAAGACTCCGAAGAATCTCGTCGCGTCATCGCGGAGAAGATAGCGATCAAGCGACGCGACCGCCGCGCGTTGTGAGAATGGCAGTGCGCGTCGATACTGACGAACACACGAATTCTCGAAATCCTGAGTCTCGCCGTATGAAAGAGGCAGACGGTTCTCTGCAAGCATACGATTCGGTGAAGAGGGAGGGAGGGAGAGAAAGAGAGAGCGAGAGAGAGAGAGAGAGAGAAAAGTACGTCTCGAAGAGAGCAGCGAGGGTGGTGATGCTCGCGCGACTCTCCGCGTCCGCTCCATTGACTCCGGGCAGGTACACGCACAGAGCCGAGCACCGAGACGTATGTGTATGTGTGTGTGTGTGTGTGTGTGTGTGTGTGTATGTATGTGTGTATGTGTGTGCGTTAATGCATGATCGATGTTCGCCTGAAGAAGCACACATGCACGGATTAGCAGCGCGCGTAAGCCGCGCATAAACCGTCAATAATATTTATCGGAATGCGCGGGCGCGCGGCAGAATTCGCCTATCGGCAGTCCCACGCGCAGCGGGACGAGATTTCCGTCGACGCGACTTCTCCCGTTCGGGAGACTCGCTCCAACATCCGTCCGTCCTCTTTTTATTTATAGTCGCCGGGCCGGGCGGCTCGCTCGCATCCGCGGCGAATCGAGCGCGGCACGCACGAGTCCGTCCACTCGAGGGAGTTTCCGGAATCCGCAATCGCGCAGCCGGCGGCTGCCCGCCTGAGAAACAGACAGACGGCCCGGCGAGAGAAAGCGAGACGCGAGAGAACGAGAGGAGAGCGGAGAGGAAGAAGCCGGCGGCGCGCTCTCTTTCCGCGGGCCGAGAGATCGATTGTTCCGGTCCTCTCGTTGTCTCCGTCCCTCCCGTTCTTGCCGCCGTTCAGGGATGCTCACGCTGAAATTTCGCGCGTGTGCGCGCCTCGCCGGAAGTCTCGCGTCGGATTTCAAACGCGCGGATAGAGCGACAGAGCGGCAGGAGAGGGGGGGGCAAGGGAAGGAGAGACGCGAGCGTAATGATTATTCTATTGTCGTTAGAATATCGTTATTATGCAGTCGCCCCACACTTCGCTTTATCTCGCGCGCGCGCGCGAAAATCTACACTCGCTCGAGCGGAACGGCGCGGTCACGCCTGATTTCGATCTCGACAGCGCAGCGAGTGCGCATTAATTGACGAAATCAACGCGTAAGCTGTATTATTTACAGGCGAAGGATCCAGTAATATCCTTGCGTAATCCACAGGCCCGGTGAGGCGGAGGGAGCGCGTGCATCGAATATTTTCGTGTCGCACATTCGATGCGCTCTCTCGCTTCTCTCCCCTCTCTCTCTGTCTCTCTCTCTCTCTCTCTCTCTCTCTCTCTCTCTCTCTCTCTTTTTCGCTCTGTCTGTCCGTTATCCTTTCTCTCCCTCTCCCTCCCTTTCTCGCCGCGCACCAAGTTTCTTCGCACCTTGCGTCGCACGAGAGCGCGTTTTATCGATCGCAGAACGACCTCGCTCACGTCTCCTACTCCTCCTGGAGGTCAGGAGTCGGGCCGGATTTTCCCTCCCCGCGATTTTCGCTCTTTTTCCTTGCGATGCGCCATGACTCGACTCTCCGAGAGTGTGCGGACAGCATCCCTTCGCCGCCGCCGCACCTCCACCTCCGCCGCCTCCTCCACCGCCGCCGCGACGCTCCGCGCCGGTCGTCGACTCGCCGTCGTGCGTCTCATTGACGAGCTCTCCCGCGAGAGAGAGAGAGAGAGAGAATGAAGCGACGTGCGGCGTCGCGATGAGGATCCGACCAGGATAATCGTCGCGCGGCTCGAGGTATCCTCTCTCATTCTTTTCCGTCCAATTGGCTTCGCGTACACGGTCGAGCCGATCGCGAGAGAGAGAGAGAGAGAGAGAGAGAGAGAGAGAGAGAAATATGAGATGGTTTCAAATAGCCTCCCTCTCCTGCCCTTCTTTCCCTCTCTCTTCCCTCCATCTTTCGTCTAGAATCGCGTTGCTGTTAAGCAACAAGCCGCGGCCGGGGCGAACACCGGATGACGATGTGTCACGCGGTCGTCGCGTCGAGGACGCCCAGCGTCCGTCTTAGTCATCGCGAGTCTCCTCGCTCGCTGTCGTCGTCGCTTACCTGGATCTTCGCATTCTCTTGTCGCGCCGAGGCGCGCAAGAAAGCAGGCCAGTCGGTTTTGACGGATGTTTTTTCGCGATTTTCTATCCTGGGCTCTCTCTTCCCCCCCCTCTCTCTCTCTCTCTCTCTTTCTCTCTCTGCCGCGCGACCACGAGCACACACAGTCCTGCACGACGCAGACAAGGTCAAGGTCGTTAGCCTTCATTCCTCGGCAACCTCCTCCGTGAGCTTCATACGTATGGTCCTCTCTTTCCCTTTGCCTCTCTCTTTCGCCGCGTCGGTTCTAATTAATGTTCGGGCGAACGTTAGCGAGAGATTTCGGGATCCAGCGGGGAAATGGAAAGCCACGTGCGCGTACGCCTCGTTTACGGGCTCATTCGTGCGGATGTGTGTCGACGACGGGCGGAGACATATCTAGGCTGCGGCGAACGCGGATCCTGTCGCGGCTGCTACTTCGCGGACACGTGTCCCTTCGTGTATGCATCCTGCGCATCCTAAGCCGGGGATCTCGCGGAAGCACTCGGCAAGGCAAGGAGAACTGACGCGTCTCTCGGAAGCCCGATTAGAAATTTATCCCATGGTCCTGGTCAGGTTAACTTCATATGGACATCAGGTCCCAATAAGGTAATACTATCGGGTCCTAGTAAGTCATGTAACGCGCAACGTAGATATTAGGTCCTTATTAAGAATTCATAGGCAGGTCCTCATTAAGTTACCTTATTGAATCCTTATTACGTTTTCTTTCATATTCATATTGTAATTCATATCATATGCATATAGAATGAATTATGAATGGTTTTTGTTGAAACTTGATAATGCAAATATCATATTAAATACAATGAATAAGAATCCCACCGCAGACGTGATCAACTAAACCATGTTATATCCTACACTAGGTTGGTACATCAAGGTCCTTTCCTATATGGACCCAATCATTATAACCTTATAAAGGTCTTCCTTATTCTCACACTGAGAAAAAATTGTATTAAAATTAAACAAATATTTGTTCGAATACTGTGACAAATGTTTGTTCGACTGTGAATACATTTATTTAAATTAAACAATTATTATTTTCTAAAATTCAAGAAAAAAATTTACATTCAGAGAACCTTTGTATCTCATTTTAGAAACTAGTCGCTTAATTTGAATAAATGTATTCACAAATTATATTCGAACAAATATTTGTTTAATTTTAATTTGTATTAAAATTTTTTTCTCAGTGCAATTGCCATCAGGATCTTGTAAGGACTGATTTAATTAGGATTATCCTTCATTCATCCTATTAGGTCTTTATCAATATCAGGCGTACCTGATCAAAATTTCTAGTCGGAAGCGTGCTTGAGAGAGAAAGAGAGAGAGAGAGAGAGAGAGAGAGAGAGAGGACGAATAGACAGCCGCGCGGAGGCATCGCGAAACGAAGGATCTCGCGAATGGAGGTGTCTGCGTTGGGAAAGTCTCCGCCTCGAAGAATCTCCCGGCCGCGTGAAATCTCGGACGAAAGCGTCGTAGAACGAAACGGTCTCGGCGTCTCGGCACGATCTCATGAGATGAGAGCGAGCTACTCGGACATTCCGTTGCCGCTGCTCGTGCGAACAGGTTTCCGAGCGATTGCGAAAAAGCGAAAAAAGGCGGGAAGACGGCGGAGAAAAAGGAGGCGGTGGCGGCGGCGGCGGCGTGAGCGGTGCGACGGGCTAAACAGAGTCATTCGCGCAGGATCGCTCCATGTAAATTACGAAAATCTCTACCGCGAGAGAGATTAGATTAGATCGTCGGTGCCCCCGCTTGCTCGCCCCCTCACCCCGCCGAGTATTATCCGAGGGCGACAATCTGAAAAGCCGATACCGTTGTCGATGAATCGAATTTTCGCGACTGCGCGGCGCTCGCGGCAAGAAGGACACTCGCGCGGCGGATCTCCGCCGAGTGCAGAGTAGCAGGAAAAGTCGCTGCGGAGGAGCTCCTGCGACATCTGCGCGCTGCATCATCCGCGCGCGCGCGCGCGCGTGCGAGAGAAAGGTAGCTTCATCAAATAAGGTATTTCCTGGAGACTTTGCAAGCGCGAAAGTCGCTCTCGCGGAAGTATCGGTGTCGCTCACGCGGAAAATCGTATCGCCCTTGCCTTCAATCACGAGAGCCTGATTGAGGAACGAGATCAGCGAGCGTCCTTCCGCTTCCCGAGCGCCTTCGGGAA